TCGTTGTTCTGCGACGGACCGTCAGTGTCCGGTTTACTGCGGTTTCCGAAGACCTCATAATGGATAATCTTTGTGGTGAACACAGATTCCGCACTGAGGTCATTGTGTTTGCCACGGGCGCCGACACGCAAAGAAACTGAGCTATTATCCAAAGGCTTGGGGCCAAATTCGGTCGTGGCCATGGCCAGGACGGCGTTAACGTAGTTGACCAACCTCTGATGCTTATCATCAGCGTTCATCGACCGCGTGCTAACCCGCACCGCTGGTAAAGAAATAGATCCGGTAGAAGAGAAGTTGGCCATCTTAAACGGAAAGTTTGCACTATTACATTAAATAATAAAAAGACAAATAATGATATCGCATGATATGATACTTTTAAATGAGGGTAATCGAAGTCCCGTCAAGTAATGCTGATGTTTCAGACAACATGTACAGTGTCAAACAATGGGGTCAAAATGAATTCAAATATCATTAACGTGATCAACATTCCCTTTATGGTCTTCGTTTCATCTCTTTACTTTTTTTGGTAGTTTGTTTTAAAAAATATAAGCCTACTTATCATGTTTAGTGCTGTTTCGACGGCAATGATTCGGCATAAAATATCAAGCAGAAGGAACCCATCTAAAAAGAAGACACGAGACTACCACTTACGTTCTCAAGTACAGTCCACAAGATGCGTTGATTAACCGTAAGAATTTCCATCCGTTGCTGACAGATCTTCAGTTTACAGGGCACAAGCGTCATGAGGTTGTAACGAATCTCCTCTTCATTGCTAAAACCAGAAAAAAAATTGAAAATCGAACAACAAAATACTGCTAAACAATGCGAATTCACTTTTCGAGGTTGAGGAACGAAAAGCGGTCGAGGATGATCTGTTGAAAAAACTGGGTCCACTCCATGGATTCGGGAATGACACCTAAGGAAATCAGAAAAAGAAAGAAATGACATAAGTGCCACTAGGTTCATACCGTGATCGACTGGGTATGCCTTGAGACTGTCCAGCTCATAAAGATGACCATTGATGGGAAGGTAGCTGGCGAAATGAAACGTTTCTTCGTGGTGGTGACGCCGGAAGCAGTTCCCGTATCTTCCGAAATTCTGGGAATTGT